CCAGTAATATCTTTGTCGTCGGTGACTCAATGTCTTCTTAATTCTGGGATGTCCTTCTGTTAAAGTATCATGGGATTGACGCAGCACAACTTCCCGTAACTTCCTCGGTATAACCATTTGCCAAGTTGTCAATTTCCCATCTTTAGTTTCCCATCTCCGGAGAAGAATACCATCTTCAAGCTTTAACTGGTCCCATTGTGCCCAATAGTGCTTTGTCACAGGGCTTAGACTAGACACCTTCTCCCAAGCAGGGCACAAAACTCTTGCTTTTAAAAAATCAATTATTGGCTTCAAATCTTGATCTTTCTCCTGCTCTGCTTTAATATTGATACCTGGTTTCACTTCGTCATCATCAACTTTTTTCAGTCACTTTGACTTCACCTTGATGGCACCTAATTAGTTCAACCTCTCTTTCAACAGTTACCGGAACTTGGCCTTTGTTATTCCCAAACGTCATTTTATCCAAATCAATTACAAACGTCCTTGGTAGTTAATAGTCCAATCCTAATATGCATTCGGCTTCAATGTCAGCCAAGTATACTTTCTGTCTGTCCTTTATGCCCATGAGCTCAATAGTTACCCACACTGGTCCACACAATCTTGTAGAATGTCCTGTCACACCATAAAGTTCTGTATGGGTTCTGGTACTCCTTCATGATCTAACACCTTGATGCTCACAAGAGTTTGCTGAGACGCAGAATCTATGACAAAGTTGCACCTTTGGCCATCCAGCTTTTCTGTTACATAGACGCTGTGTGTGCTTGGGATTTTACACCTAGCTGTAGGGACTTTCATGATGGGGGTTGGGGAGTGTCTCTCAACACCAACCACTACTGGTCTCCTTGAGGCTGACTTGTTGGTAATATTCTTCCTACACTGGCTCCTCATATGTCCTTGCACCCCACAGTTCCAACAGCCTTTCTGGGTAGCAGCCTTTCCTGCTGTATCATCTCCCCTGTGTTGAAGTTTCCAGCATTGAGCTCTCTTGTGCCCAGGTTTGTTACAGTGCCAACAAGTCCCTCAAACTTCTCTGAAAGTTGACCTTTCCTGGCCTTGAATCCACATGACTGTACCAACCTTGGTACCTCTGTGCTGGACTTAATGTAGGATTCGAATTCGAGAGCTCTGGCCATTGCATTCTGCATGGTAGGGGGGTGTGCTTGCTTCACTTGTATCTTAAGTTGTGGACTGTCCAAGGCATCTACGAACTGATCCCTCAGCAACAACTTGAGGAGATCGGGTGGTGCAGTTGGGTAGGCCTTGTGTGCCATGCTTTCCAAGTCCTGTGCCAGCTCTTGCAGGCTCTCCCCTTTAGCACGACAAGACTTTATATAAGACTAACACATATCTAGTAATCTCCCAACAATTCACGAAGGTTTGAGAAGGACGTGGCATGATACTAGTCACGTGACCTCGCTGACGCAACAATACTTTATAGAATGAGGTATATTTGAGCTTCTATATGTACATTGGTACAAAAACAATGATTGCCTAATTCTGGAGGAAATTGATGTGGTGGATAAAAATAAAATTAGTTTTTTGTATTCTTATGGGGTAGGGAATAAAACAACAACAACAACAAATAGTTTTAAAACAGCAATTTACTTGTATGCTTGTGTAATAAATATCTTTCATATGGCAGCTAATATTAGGTATACCATTTAATACATATTGTAAGCTTGATTTAGTTTGCATGATGCCACTATTGAAATTGGCTCAATTCAGAAGCTGTACAATTTCAGAACAATCCCAGATTTTTTAGAATGATGAAGTTATTTCTTTAGTACCTCCATAAATAATTGAAGCAGAGTTCTTTGAGGAATTAAATATTTCAGGATATGACACAGTAGGTGTTAAATAATTAGCCAAGGAAACCAAATATAGATACCTAGACTAAAGTGTGGTGATAATGTTTGCTGGAGTGGAATTATGAGTATTATTCTTCAATTTGTACTACTCTTAGACTTTTTGCCTCATCTCACATTCAGTGTTTCCACTGTTACTGCTTTAGACACACAGTAGTTCAATGTAGAGGTCAAATGAGGTGTTGAAAGTGTGGGGAAGCTTGTAACCATATAAAGTGTGACTCGGATTCTCCAAGTTGTGTATACTGCAGTTAATGTCACCAGGCTAATTATTCTCGGTGACACTTCCGATGGGAAAATTGAAAATATTTGGGCAGAAAAGAAAGTTTCAACTAGAAGTAGAATTATAACTTTGCCAAAGTGTAAAAGTGCTCCTCTTCAACTGTTGCTTTTGCACCATCAGATATCAGTAGTTGTTTACCAAAGTGGATATTTCAACACAAGCTGGTTCAGACCAGACTCCTGTATTTCCATCTGTAAAATTGGACATTCTTTCATTTATTGCTGAAATAATAAACCTATTCATAAGTTTATAGAAGCTGATTATTTTTATAAGTGCAGAAAACATATTCAGTGTGAATACTTAGGTTCTCATTATTTTTTAAATATTTGAAATAATTGTAATGTTTACCCAGATATTGAGGGCTTATCGTGATACAGAGCTCAAGCACTATATTGATAGGGAAAATCCACACATTATTGTTTTATGTGAAATGTGTTCATTACTTCTTTTCTTAATATTCTATTAATCATTTGGATCATATTAATTTTGGGAATTGTGTGTTTATGTTTTTAATTCGTCAAGATATTCAATTTGTTTCTGTTGTTTTGGCGTACATTTCTTCAGTTATGGGTTTACAAATAAACATAGTGATAGGTTTATATCAGCTTGCTCTTTTTTGTGTTTATAATGCTAGTATTGTTAAAAACAGGGTCAATATGGTAAATCAGAAGTTCAGGTGTTTCATCAGTGATCAAAAATGTTTTCATAGAAAACACACACACATAGAAATTGTTTTACTATAATATATGTACTGTCCATCTACCTACTTGTAACTAAACAGTAACATGCATCATAGCCATTTATCTGTGATGTTGAGTTAATTTAATATATTACACTGTCAGGGGTGATTAATCAGTTGGGGTGTAGCCAGTGGAGCAACATTTTTCTTGGGACAGATTATCAGCGGTATAACATCAAGCAAACAACTAGGTTTTGTGTGCCTTGTGTAAAGATATAGCTGAAGCTTGAGTTATTATTAGGATTATGGCCAAATTTATAGTGATAATAGCTGGGTTACCCTACTGTTGTATCAAAGCATTAATCATAATTTTTGGCCTCCTTATAAAACTACAAACTCATTGTTAGTCTATTATATGAAGTTAACTATATTACCTTTTAGTTTTGAACTGTATCGTTTACCTACTTTGACCAAAAATTACTGGTAATTGGGTAAATATTAGATGTTGAAAATGATTTTTTTTAAATGCGTTGAGTTTTCAGTATAAATGAATTATAAGTAACAAGTGAAATACCTTATTCTTTTGCGAACCCTTTGAGTGATAATAGTTTTCACAACAAACCTTTTTGAGCAGTAATAAATTTTGTAAAATAAAAAAAACTTGAATTTGTTGAAAATATATGTTTCTGTAACACATATGTAACATGTTTACAATAAAATATGAATCTCTAATATTGTCATCAGTTTGCAGTTAGTACCCAGTTAAATTGAAATATAATTCTTGAAACATAATAAAAAAAACTATTTTGAAAATGAAACCATCTAAATAAAATTGAGACTTCTGAGTTTGCTTTAAAGTTTGGCTCAACAGAAGAGAGATGTAATCTTAAATCTGGCTTTACATCACGCTATTTCCATCCATAAATATTTTAATAAATTAGAAGGAAATTAAAATATTGGTAAGAACTGTAGAACCAGGAAACTTAAAAACAGCATTATGAAAGTTTTCTTGTGAACCTTTTAGAATTATGTCTTGAACCCCTAGGAGTTTAAGAACCACCTGTTGGAAAATGCTGATACATAGTAAGTAATCAAAAAGTGAAAGACAAAAAATTGGATGAAAAAAGAATTAATAATATGCAATAATTGCAGATCTGAGAAAATGTTTTACAATAAGAAACATAAAATGATAGAAGTCATTTTAAAATGCAAAAATAATCCTCTCTCAATGTTTTCTTTTTATATATATAGTATTAATGTCCCAGATAAGTTTGAAGAACCTCTAGCCCCCAACAATGAACTTAGTAATGCAGAAAGACTTCTTGAGAATGAAATAATTGGACCAGAGTCTGTTGCTGCTTTAGGAGGTAGGATGTTAATATATGTGTTAATATACTACAAAATCTCATTATCTTACAGGACTATTAAGTTAACTTAATTGCAGGAAATATTGAGCTCATTATGGACAAACTTTTGAATATAAAACAAAGTAAAAGTAGATTCCAGTACAGAGCTCATTGACATTAATATCAATTTCATGTACTACATTGACTGGCCACTTTCTTAGGACATTTTACATTTAAATTAAATTGGAGAACCATACACTGTGATAATCACCTGCAATTCTAGTGTCATTGACTCCACACATTGCTGGCGGTTATCTTGTTTGATTATATCCCATTCATTGAGGAGTTTATCCCCCAGTGGTACAGCGGTATGTCTGCAGACTTACAATGCTAGAAACCAGGTTTTGATACCTGTGATGGGCAGAGCACAGATAGCCCATTGTGTAGCTTTGTGCATAACTACAAACAAATCATTGAGGAGTTTGGTCGTCAGATGGTTTACAGATGTTGGTAGAGGATTATAGTGCCTGACAGATATGATGTTAAGGGTTATCTCAAATATTTGATTGGATTGAGATTTGATGGTTGCAAAAAACAGGGAAGATGATTGAAGGTACCTTCATGCTAGTCTAACAACTTTTGGAAAATACAAGCATAGTTTATTATTGCATTATTTTCTTGGAAGAGCTCTTATCTATCAGTGTGTACATGCATATTATGTAGTCATGGTGGTTTTACAACATTGTTTAGATTCATTCTGGTTGTTATTCACTATTCTAAAGGAATTGAGGGACTCTTCCATGAAATTTTTCTCTACCATTACATCATCTCTAGCAATTTGCAACAATTTAGAACAACATAAGCTTGGCCAAATGCATTGTTGTTTCCTTTATACTTTTACTTGATCAACAATACAGAAGAGGGTGAAAAGCAGCTCATGAGACTGTATCACACACTTTCACTCATTCAGTGTAGACAGTTTTACTCTCTAAACACTACTAAGTCATGTTTTCTGTTTTTCTTTGAGGTAAGTGGTTATGAGACTGAATATTGGCTACCAGTTTTTGTAATGTCTTGTATGATATGAACATGGTCTTTAACCTTATTCAGTCACCACTGGTTGGTTGCTACTGTTTTCCAAGTGGCAGATGTATCTTCTTTCATTATTAACTGTTGATAAACTAGTTAACAATGACAGGTACTAACCATGATTTATTTCCTTCCAAAAAAGTTGGAGAAATTCTTGCTCATTCCCATTGTTTTGTAAATTAACTATGGTATGATTCCATGTCTGCATTTATAGATGTAATCAAATTTTGATTAAAACAGAATCAAATTCTAATGAATATTTTGGTAAAGAACAAATTCTTAAATGGTAATAGATTTTCAAACATAAATTATATGGTGGTTTATCTCTACCATCTTTAATTCATAAAAGTGTTCAAGAAAAAATATTTCCCATAAAATCATTACAACTTATTGTTAGTTTTAAATACAGTATTTTTATAGGACCTCTTCTCTTGAAATACAAAAAAAATTATTCCAGAATTAAATCCAAAAGAAATGGATAATAGTAATTTTATTGATTCTTTTCATAAACATTTTGCTACAGGCTATTTAAATGTTACAAAAGATGAGGACTTAAAATTGATTTTAGAAAAAGGTACCAAATTTAGAATTAAAAAAAAAAGTGAAATATTAAAAGATTTGAGAAAAATATTTAAGATTACATTATTAAAATTAGTAAACAATTTCATTATCCTCCATATTTTTTAAATAGAAGTTATTATTTATTAACTAAATAAAAAAGTAATAATAATAAAATGGTTAAAAACTTTAAAATTTTCTACATATAACGTACATATTCCTTGTAATATCTTTAAGAATAAAATAAGAAATATTCCAATTTCTTAAAACCCATGTTGATAAAGTTGGTTGTAATTTTGGTTTTGTATGTAAAAAAAATTATATGCACAAATTTTAATTAATTAAATCAATACAACAAACACATTTACAAAAAACACTTTAAATAAAAAATATAAATATAGATTCTACTTGTTCAAACTTACCATTTTTATATGCAATTCTGAAATTTCATAAAACTTTTATAAAGCTTTTATTACTAACTCTTTAAACACAGTCACTAAATCTATTTCTGTTGTACTCTTAACATTCTAGATGTTTTAGTTGAAAAATAAAGTTACTGTCATCAAATGGTTTTGAACCACTTTATGTTTTGGATCATTAAAAATATTCCAGTTTTGGAATGTTTAACTAACTTAAATTCTTTAAAACTGCCAACTCTGTTACTACTTATGATTTTACTACATTATATACTAAAATAGATATGAAAGATTTAATCACGGTTTTTAAAGATCTCCTTGATAAATTTGTAGATACAGACATAGTTATTCCAAAATTTAAATTTGTTAAGCATCAGTGTAAAAATGTACTTAATTTTTGTATTTATAACAGTTATGTTATTTTCAATGAACAAGTATATACTCAAACATTGGGTTCCAATTTCTCTTTAAACATGGCCAACTTGTATCTGAGTGTCAGCAATTGGGGTGATCTAGTACGAAGGAAGACACAGGAATACGATGGGAAAGCATCATGGGAAGCATATAGAGCACAGTTTGAGCTACTGGCAGAGATGAATGGATGGACAGAGGAGCAGAAAGCAGTATATCTGGCAACGAGCTTGAAAGGACAACCACTGGAAATACTGGACAGTTGTCAGCAGACGACAGGCACAACTATAGAGCACTGGTAGCGGCTCTAGAACTCAGGTACAAAATCAGTTGGAAGTCTACAGGGCAAGGTTTAGGACGAGAATCCGTGCTAAAGGGGAGAGCCTGCAAGAGCTGGCACAGGACTTGGAAAGCATGGCACACAAGGCCTACCCAACTGCACTACCCAGTCTCCTCAAGTTGTTGCTGAGGGATCAGTTTGTAGATGCCTTGGACAGTCCAGAACTTAAGATACAAGTGAAGCAAGCACACCCCTCAACCATGCAGGATGCAATGGCCAGAGCTCTCGAACTTGAATCCTACGTTAAGTCCAGCACAGAGGTACCGAGGCTTGTACAGTC